CTCTATTGGATGTACTTCCTTCGGTTTTACAGGTAGTCCCCGACTTATGATCACCATTGGGACCAGAATTTCCAGTGCTGAGCAAGGGGATGTTAAATGAGTTATGCCCGATTTTATGACCTTTCTTGTGCCATAATTGTTAAGCAAATCACTGCAGTTGCTAATTGAATCAGCTGGTTGTTAAGCGAATCTGCTTCCCCCCATTGAGTTTGCTTATCAAAAGCTGGCTGGGAAGGATTGAAACGGCTATCAGATGAAGATCCTGCAACTGTTGTAAATAGCTACCAAGCAAATTTTGACCATGTGACTATGGGGATGCTATGATGGGCCTAAGTGTGTGGATTGGTCATAAGCAATCTTTTTCACTGCTGCTAGTTGTTTTTTTTGGTCTTTTGGTACTTAAAACAAAAAGAATAATTGTAAGCTGTCCAGAGTATTGGGAACTGAGCAGCCTATAAACTTTGGAAATGAAATAAAATTAAAAATAAATAAAAATAAAAATGGCCAACTACTCTGACCACCAGGGAAAAATATCTGATTTCCTTTCATTATAGCCTCATTTTCAGACTTTATTTTTAAAGGCTTTTCCCATCACATTGAATTCAGCCCAATTCTGCTCTATTTTAGAGAGTTATTCTGCTGACAGGTAGACAAAGAAAGTACCTACCATTTACATAATTTATTTCCACGTTTATTAGATTGGAAAAAATAAAAGAACAAAAACACTGTTTTAAGTAGCTTCTTGTTATCCCTCTCTTCACATTAATTCCCCTCCAGAATGGCGAACAAAATGGATTTGTCCTGCAATAAAATAGCATATTTTGATAGCAAACAGACACAAAAATGATAGCAGCAATATATGCTATCCATTTTGTTAAGAGCTGGCTTTGCACAATACCTTTTACCTGGTTACTGAGCTAATTCATTTTTCAGCTTTGCACAATCCTCTGTATTGTAAGCTAATTAAATGGGACAGGTTTCTCCATCCAACTAAGTCATTAAAAAAAAAAATCTAAATACAGTAATCAAAACTAATCAGGTCTAGCATATAATTTGAATATAGCAGCTAGTTTAACTCACACATGAACTACAGGCAGTTCTCAATTTACGACCACAACTGAGCCCGAAACTTCCATTGCTAAGTAAGACAGTTGTTAAGTGAGTTTTGCCCCAATTTACGACCTTCCTTGCCCACAGTTAAGTGAATCACTTCAGTTGTTAAGTTAATAACACGCTTGTTAAGTGAATCTGGCTTCCTCGTTGACTTTGCTTGTCAGAAAGTGGCAAAAGAGGATCATGTGACCCCGGGAGATTGCGACGGTCATAACTACATGCCAAGTGTTTGAATTTTGATCACATGACCATGGGGATGCTGCAATGGTTGTAAGCGTGAACAAAGACCCTAAGTCACTTTGTTCAACAGTGCCGCTGTAACCCTGAATGGTCACTAAACAAAAGGTTGCAAGTCAAGGATTACCTGTATTGCAATACCCTTTCAATGGGGCTATCCTAGAAGATTGTTTGGAAGTAATGCTGGTCTAGATTGTGTCAGCGCAGGCAATGATGGACAGGACAGGACATCCCCTTTTGTCACCACTAATTTGTGACCTGCACTGGTTACCTATCGGTTTTCAGGATGTAGACAAAGACTCACTGGTGTGAGATGGGCGGGTACACAAATTAAATGAATGAATAAATGAATGACTAAAAAGCTCCTCGTGGAAGTAGACCTGGTTATTTGAAGGAGTGCCTATCTCCAATAGTTTCTGTAAGACCTGGCACATTGGGTGTGTTATACATCCTTTTAATTAAACAGTACTTTCATTTAACAGGATCTAGGAAATAGGCCTTCCTTGTCATAGTATCAGTCTCTGGGACAGTATTTTCCCAGAGATTCATATAGGTCCCACCCTGATGGATATTCTAAAGATCCTTGAAAATCTAGCTAGTTTACCTGAACATTGAGCCTCCATTAGTTGTTTTTTTGTAAGCTATGTATTTTCTTTTCAGATATATACAATATCCTCTTATTTTACTGTTCTTGCTTTTTAAAGGGCAAGACGCCCAGAGTCACTTGCAACCAGGTGACCTCTAAATTTAATATAATAAAATAATAATAGTTTAATGGGTTGTGTGAATCCAGCTGCTGAGCAAATTGCAAATCCAAATGTGTCTTGTTCGGCCCAAAATGTTACATATAGCCAGCTAGTTATGATTTATTCCATAGAATAATATCTGGAAGGCCTGGGTACACAACTCCGTGGGACCAGTAGCAGCATTGTGCTAGAGGAGACTTGCAGAAATCCCTTGGGGAGTTTATCAGAGTTCCTTGTTAACCAAAAAAACCACCTATTAAATAATATTTAACATTGTGGCCATGCAGAGTGATGAGACAACGTAGGGAAGAGCACCAAGGAACTGCTCACAGCAGTTTAGTCATGCCTTCAGGGATAGAGTAACCGAGATGATGTTTCAAGAGCCACAGTTCAATCTTATGTAAGCAACGACAGGTAGAATAATATTTGAGGAAGACCTGTGAGATGTTAGCCTTGTGAACGCCTATCTAACTGCATTAATCACTCTTACTTTCCTCCACTAACTTGGTTACAGGAAAAAGCAGGTGAGACAAACAGGACATCTTTGTTTTTCAGACCACTTGTCAAGTGCAGGAAATCAGGAAGCAAGGCGGTTCAAATAGATACAGGTTTACTGCATGCTAACACTCTCTACAAGAATCTGAATTACTAACGGTCAAAGCGAATTGGCAGTAGATAAGAGTCAATGGAATTCAAGGTGGGCTGGACTTAGACCTCTTATGGGCACAAAGGGACTCAAGGCTGATGATGCACTTGACCCCTCCCTCAGGCTCAGACTGTTATCTCCCACATCATCAAATAAAACCCTTTTGGTGCTTTGTCTTCCCCACTGATTGATTGTCCCTTGTCAACATGTTGACAAAAGACATTGAGAGTCTCTGAAATGTCCACATGGCTGTAGAAGGCAACCCAACAATGTCATAAAGTCATGGAAAGGAATGGAACCATCTGTTCGGAGATTTTTCTGATCCTACTTTTAATCCTCTGAAGACATCTTTTTCACTTTTATGACAAATTTTTGGATTATTCCTCTCCCTCCAAAATAATTAGAAGTAATTAGTATTTTTTTTTGAGAGGGAGTAATTTTGAAGGGGCAATTTGGCCACTCTTCTGTTGAACTGATGCAACACCATCAGCAAATGCTGGGGATGGTGTGCAGACCATGTTGGTCATCCCTGCACTAAATCATGGTATCATATAATGGGTGAGCTGGGCATTATGACATTGCTTTAAGCTCACCTGTCAGTGAAGACGAAGCCAGCAGAGGGTGAAGCCCCAGTCCCTAAAGTGGGTTGGTGATGGGACTTTTCTCTCTGATAATTGGACTGCTAAGGGGCATTCAGATGAGTCTTGTGACTTCTCTGTTACCTTTGCAAAACTTATCCTTAGTGTACCCTGATCCTGTCTCTGCAAAGAACAGCATGAAGAATGATATTTAGACAGGAGCAGGCGGGCAGGAAGTGATTGGAGGAGTAATAACAGATTGCAGTTTCAACAACAGGTGTGCTCGAGAAAGGTGTAGGAGAAATACAGAGATTAGAATATAGGAAAACACTGCCAGCTTTTGGTTTATTGGCAGTATGGGAGCCTAAAATCCAGCAAATGTTCTGTCTTTAAATGCTATCCTCTCCCTGGTAACGAAATCACCCAGTCTGAGACTTGCTCACATCATAAAAAGTGTTACAGGAATTTTAGGAACCTTATTAAAGAGAAGCGATGGCAAATCCTACCTCTGACTGACTTTAGTGGCACGTAATCATTTGTCATCACCACAACACCTTTTGTGCTGGTTTGGAAACAAAATGAGCTGTTCTTGAAAGAAAAGGGTGTGATGCTATAGAAAAGGCTGAAAAGGAAGTACAATTGAAGAGGAGATGCTCTGTGGGTGCTGTGTCTCATCTTGGCTTTTAGAGATAAATTTCCTCAGGTACAAAAGCAGGAAGAGAACTCCGCCTGTGATTCTAGGAAGCTAGTTATATAAAACTGGGCTAAATTACCTGATGTCTTAATTTGCCCAAATTGAGAGGCAAAGGGGATTTACAATTAAATGAGAGAGCAGGAAGCTTTTAATTAAGTGGATCAGGGAGAACCAGAGTGGGTCTAATGGACAAATGAGTAAGAAAGGACACACTAATAAAGTGCATTCCCACGATCATCTAAATTTTAAAAACAAGTTTATTTCCTGTGTTCACCTATTACGCCATGATCAAATCAATAAACCGTGTCAGGGCTTAATATTCACACCATATGATAAGAAAACATTTGGGTACTCACAATATGCTAGACCCAGCCTCCATTTTATCTTTGCTTAATCTATTAGGCAGTTCTAGAAATGCAGTTGCCACCAGAAAAATAACAGGGGGGAAATGGATATATTCTACTGTAAAGGCCTTGGTGAAAAAAAAACAAACCGTAACATAAATAGGAACTGAGAAAAGCTGGAGCTTGAGAATGATGTGGCCCGAAGTTGGGACTAAGGGCCAGGCAGCTGTTTTCCTCTCCTTAGCTGACAGCTGTATGCAAGGTGCAGAATCCAACAGGTGTATCTGCTTCCCAGCATCAGGCTGCAAGACCGATCTGTGCGTAGTCGGGTTTTGTTTTTTTTCCAATCGCGGAAGTCAACTTTTCTTGATCTACCCAGCTACCTACCAGATCCAGTCCTCCTACCAGCCGTTTGCTTTGATTTCTCTTTAAAGGGGACTCGGCCAAAAACCAAGCAAGCAGCAAGGGCGCTCCTAGACGCCTGTCGGGGGAAGAGGGGACCCTTCCCTCCCGCGATCCCGCTTCAAGGGATGGCCGGGGCGAGGCCAAAGCTGGCGGGGAAGCACCTGTCCCACCTGTTGCCCCTCCGCCGCCCCTGGCTCTTTCCCCTCTCCCTCCTCCTCCCGGCCCTCGGCCACTCACGATCTCCAGGCAGACGAAGGCCCCCGAGTAAGTGCGCAGGATTTCCACGCCGGAGGGCAGATTCACGCGAGGCGGGGGGTAATAGGCAGTGGCGTTGGGCGGCGGAGGCATGGAGCCCCCGCCTCGAGCAGCGATCATGGCGCGGAAGGATCCGAGCGACCGGCCGTGGCGGGAGCAGGAGCGGGGAGCCCCTGACGTGGCCTCGCCAGGTAGAGGCAAGAGTTACGCCAGGCGGAGGAAGCCGGAGCTGCAGGTGGCGGCAGGGCGGGAAGGGGGAAAGGCGAGCGCGCTGGTCCGGCGCCGCCCGCCGCCCGCCCTTTCCCGGCTGCGGTGGGGGCGGCCTTTGCGCCCACCTTCCCGCGCCTTCCCAGTTCCGGACTGCCGGCCTCCTCCTTTGCAGAGTTTCTCACCGAAGCTGTTGTTAGCCACAACCACAACCAGGGGGGTTAGGAACACAAACTAGTGCCCTGGGTGGCATGACCCGCCCGCGATTGGGTAACCCTTAGTCCAGGCTTCGCCGCCAAATTCCTGCCTCCCCTCCCCTCCTTCAGCCAGGAGAAGGTTATCTCAGGTTAATTGCCGGCAGTGGCAGCAAAGGGACTCGGCCTATTCGCACGACGCGTTTGCCCGCGTTTACCCGACGAAACGCGCTTGAGTTAACCTTGGGTAATTTTTTTGAGGACTCGGATGATGTGAGTCTGGGCATTAACAGCCACGGAATTGGGCCCCTACCTAACCCGGCTAGCTTGGCCCAATGTGGATTTGGTTAATTCAGAGTGTTGAGGGAATAGACACTATCCTGCTAAAAAATGTCATTCTTTCCCCACAAGTTCACTTTTTGAAAGAAGCGAGAGAGGAAATGCTTTTGGGGTTATGATTAGCAAACTGTGCTCTATTTCTACCCAGCTAGAGAGCCTCCCCCCTGCAAACTTTGTTGACCTTAAAAAACTGAGCAACCTTGCATCTGAATAGTTGGAGACCACCAGGTGACCCTACAATTCTCAATTAAATCTTACATTTGAAGGCAGTAATGGAGTATTTCCATTTTGTGTTACGTTTCGAAAACTGGCTCTGGAATTAGCTGCAGACAAGCTCAACTTGAAGGAGATCTTACTTTAAGCCCTATTTTTAAGTGAGCGAGAAGGCTTCAGTTCCAGCAATCAAAATAGCAATAGCATTTAGGTTTATATACCACCCCATAGCACTTTACAATGGGTGGTTTACAATGCAGAAGCATTATTTGCATGTTGCCCCCAACAAACTGGGTCCAGACTGGACAAAAACAAGAAACTGGTTGTATTCGTGTGACTTTGTCAACCTAGATCCTGAATTAACTCATAGGGTTTATAGAACCCAATGAATTTACCAAAACACAATACATGAAATCACTGAAAAAAAGAAAATCCCTAATATAATTAAAACTAACCAAGTTTAGGAAGTTGTATGAATGCAGCTGTTAGGCTTTGACATAATCTGATTTGGGATGTTGTATGAACACAACTGTTTGGAGGGTTGGTGATACTTACAAGTGTCTTTAAACAACATACCATCTTTGACAATCATGGTGCAACCCAATTTTCTGAGTTTGCAACACACATGGAAACATAAGGAATAGACAATGGTTTTGAGCCACACATGACTAAACTCAAATGGACTTGGCTAATTTGTTTTTGTTTTCTGCTTTAATTATTTAGATAAATCCCACATAATAAGCTGGGACTAAGGAAAAGTCAGATATGGACAGTGCAATCAACTATACTTCTAAGTAAACATAACTGGCTAAACTTGTTGAGGTTGTGATGGGTAAGAACATAATTATTAGCCACTTCTAATATCTACCTGAAACCACAAATGATGCTTGTATACTGCCTGTACATTACAAGACTTTCATAATAAAAATTCGGTTCTGTTTCCATATGGTATTATTGGGCACTCCCAGAATTATATCGGTTTAGATGCAAGATAAAACGATCCTGTTTTCTTGCAGCTGGATCAGAATGAATGCCATCTTTACTTCCATTCTTATAAGTTGGCAATTCACACTTTGCTTCTCCACAGTAGATCCATTTACTGTATATAAATGGAGAAAAAAAATGCTTTTTGTAATCCAGGTGCTATTGAATAAAAAACACTTTTTAAAAAATAAATACTTGATAATGTAAATTCCAATGCACGTATTGTTTATTCTTCCCATAATAGGTTGGAAGAAGCAGCATTTGGAAAAGATAACTTAGTAGATCATTTCATGCTGTATATTCTCTGTCAAGCTCTGAGTAGATTGTAGTAATCTTGAGATGTTGCTCTATCATAGGCTTAGATCTGTATTGCAAGTTCAGGGTTGGTCTGAATCTTAGAATTTATCACTTTGTAGTGTGCGTAAGGGCTGAACAGTACAGCAACCCTGAGGCATGTTAGAATTGGAAAAGTGTGAAAATTAAATTGCTTATAACATTTTTGCATCATTTCCTATTATACTGCAAGTAAAAATATTCAAAATTGTCCTCACCCCTATTAAGTTGCAAAAATCCTATTTAAAACTTCTTTTTTCTCCAAGCTAATCGATTAAGCAGCATTTTAACGTATCTGTTTCATTAATTCAGTATATATTTTACAAGTAATCCTTGATTTATAATCATTCTATAGCAGTGGTTCTCAACCTGTGGGTCGGGACCCCATTTGGGGTCGATCGACCATTTCACGGGGGTCGCCAAGCAAGGCTGTCCGCCATTTTTTTGTCCGCCATTTTTTTTCCCTTTTCCGGCGGGTGCCTTACCTCCCTTGGGCTGGGCCAGCTGGTGGTCGGCCTGCTCCGTCTCTGCCGCTTGCCAGCTACGCCTCGGCCAGCGCAGGGGGCGGAACCACGCATGTGCGGCGGTCCCGGGCAGGGAAAGTCCTCGACTTACGACCGGTTGGGTAGTCCTCAACTTACGACCGGTTTAGTCCTCGACTTATGACCGGTTTAGTCCTCGACTTATGACCGGTTGGGGTCGCGGCATTAAAAAGGTTGAGAACCACTGTTCTATAGCAACTTCTTGAAGTTATGCTGATGCTAAGAAAAGCGATTTACAATCGTAAATCAAACATACAATTATTCCAGCATCCCCATGGTCACAGGATCACAATCTGGGCTTTTGTAACCACTCATATTTACAACGGTTGGAGCATCCTGTGGTCACGTGACTGCCGTTTGCAACTTCCCAGCCAGCTTCTGACAAGGAAAATCAATGGGGAAGCTGGCAGGGAAGGTTGCAAATCGTGGTCCCATGATGTGTCACTTAACAACCACAGTGATTCACTTAACAACCCTGGCAAAAAGTTCCTAAAATTGGGTACACTCACATAATGCCTCACTTAACAATTGCATTACTTATATGTATATTTTCCAGTCCTAACTGTGGTCGTAAGTCGAGAATTACCTATATGTCTATCCAATGCATCAAGAAGAAAGAAAAGTATGTCTGGTTTTATAAAGCTTGGAGATTTTCAGCTTGGATATAGGGTTAAATGTATGATGGTGATGTCTATTTCCAGATCCTATTTGGAATTCTTTATGTGATTTCAGGGGCCTCCTATAAGTCCTCTTGTTATTTTTTTTTATGCACACCCTTGTAGGTGTAACTATAATGAACATCTGCGACTATGCATCAGGTTTCAAGATCCTTTTTAAAAAAATTACTCATACTACTTCTGTAGCCCTAGCAGCACCACTCGTTCAGGTTCAACTACATAGTTGCAGAGCAATGTTGCAAACTATAATCACGAAATCAGTCCTTGATTATCTCAACGATCCAAGTGGTTCAACACAGCTCTGATCCTGGCCTAGGAGAGGCATTGCATTGGAATAGCAGCTCTAGTGTCTACTGGAGATGATTTGTGGGCTTAGCAGGGAAATATTAGCTTTTAAAAATAGGCTAGAAGAAACTATTCCAAGGATGAAGCACCCATGTCTAAGTAAAATTGGCTTGGTTGGCTTATTAGTGGCAAGAAAAGTATGGGCCAATGCCAGATGGGTTGAAGAAGTACACAATAACTTCACTAAATGAACCTGGGAGCTGAGATGAAATGCTCTCTACGCATCCTTGAGTTGACAGAAATCTATATTGGCATTAAATCTACTGTCCCCCCCCCCCGCCCTTATTTCAAGTCATCTGCAGGTATTAGATGGTGAAGCCTCACAAATTTTATCCACCTTTATCCTTTGATGGGGTTAGGCCAAGAGCGAAAATATTACTTGGATACCAATACACTTAACGATGACTTAAGTCTATTACACCCATGAGCTGGGAATGTGGTTAAGTCAACATCAAAGGGATTTGTGGAAAATAAGAGAGAAAGAAAGAGAAAGAGAACAGGCAGGGAGAAAGAGAGTCCCAAAGATGCTTTACCAAAAGGCAAGCAGGCTTTTTTGCTTTTAATTTGAAAATGTTTAGCTTCTCATCCAAGAAGCTTCTTCAGAACCTGGGACAACCATGACCTGGATGAGTGGAGAGAGAGGGAGGGAGGGAGGAGAGGGAGAGGGAGAGGGAGAGAGAGAGAGAGAGAGAGGGTGGGGAGTATACCATGATTAGGAAAGGTTGTCAGTCTTGATCTGAAGATACCAATACAAGCAATGTGTGTTGGCAGTAGGTTGTGTGTTATTAATCCATTCAGCATCTATGTCAGTCAGTATGGCTCGGAGCAGCGCAATTTCACCATTTTGTAAGTAGGTTAAAAAATGATAAAGCTAAAATAATCCAACTAGAGTAGAACATTCAAGAATTCTGAAAGTTGTTGAGGCTTTCGACCCCAAGCTGCATTTGGAGAATTCCATTTTCAAAAGCTTCCTACTGGAAGAGTTGAGTGGGGAACCTAACTACCATTAGTAATAAGCAGGTTGGACTCTGATCTGCAATGTTTATATGCAGAGGTTTTTTTTTTTTTGGGCAGGAATAGGATGCCAGTTCTGTGCCAGTCTCCATCCATGGGATTCTTATTGCTTAATTTGGATACTCAAATAGACCAGGCAAGGTAGCTAAAACAAGAAAAGAAGTCCAAGCTCCTTATCTTTATTCAGCTATGTGAAAGTGGATATTTCAACAGGTTTGGCTCTCCAGACAAAATGACTTGCTAAGATCCCTTATTTTGTTAAAATATTGGTTTGAGAGTGAGTTTGGTTTAATGCTTAAGGCACTAGAAACCAGGAGACTGTGAGTTCTAGTTCCGCCTTGGACATGAAAGCAACTG